CACCCTCCATCACCAGCCAGTGCAGGCGGCGCTGAGGAGGTTTGCCCTACTTCCTACGTTCTGCATCTCGTACTGACAGGTCTGCAGGATGTGGTCTTTTTCTATAAAGCACATATCATGGCTGGTCAAGTCCGCCCAAACCGAACGCATACACAAGACTTTGCTTGGTTAACCAAGGGTGAGATCAAGACCCGGGTGGATGAGGACTACTGGTTAGGTATCAAAGATATATTGTCGGATTTCTAATGTATGGTCTCTATATTGTTCTACTCATCGATATATCATCCGGTGTTCTACTGCACCTACTTGGGGGCAGAGATAGCCCGACGCATATCTGGTCGCTTTTGTGCATCATCGAATCTGCGCACCACCACATCGCACTTTGTGCTCTTGCATATGTGCTTGGAGTTTGCCTTTACGTCATCTGAGAATAGATTGAGGCCAGCAGCACGTTCTACGACATCAACTAAGTGCAGCACATCAGTCATACGCTCAATATTGAAGGGCTTGTGCGCATACCTGGTATAATGAAACTCTCCAGAGGTGCATCGTCAGGGATAATGGCATTCGGGAGCACAAACGCGCCCGTCGAAATTTCTAGCGTGTCCGGTGCTGAAGCTGACAAAGGTCTCGAGGCCAGCACAACTTTGGCAAAATGGGTCGGGACCGCAACGTTTGGCGGAGATCCAATAACTTCATACGTCTGCAAAAACGTGAATCATGACGATAAATAGCGTCCTTGAGAGCCTAGACTGACCACGCGGAATTTACCGTCTGCGTCTTTTCGGGGGAGATACAGCGGGACAGTAAAGACGTAGACATCAGAGAAAGACCCTGTGAGGCGTCTACACCAGTCTTCCAAGTACGCCCAATCTACAAAGCAAAATTCAGCTTGAGACGTCTCCTATATTGCATATTTACAATGCCGATTGAAGCCAGCGCCGACCTGAGGCGCGATATTTGACAGGAAGAATGTCTCATCCATAGCCTCCTGAGAAAGCTTGGCGTCTGCAGCAGGAACCCTTCGGACTCGTCAAAATCTGCCTCCTCACAAAAGCTCGACGTACGCACATATGTCCACGATCATACCCGCTTCGGAAGTAATCCTGCAGCTTCGCGCGGAACATCGCTGGAAGAGACTCATCCTCCACGAACTTCGAGTTTGAGCGGTCGGGTGACCCATCCCCTGAGGGACGCTGCTGACTGGATTTACCAAGAGATGCAAGAGTAAGATGCTCTGCAGTCTATGAACGCAGTGTTAGTCAATAACTGTTGAAGTGTAGAAAAATAACTCACCCATGCAGGATGCCTGAGTCTTCGGTCATACGCAGCAGTGTACGCTTTACGAACCAAGAGGTCCGGTACAGGACCTATTCAAAACCCAAGTTCAAGCGAGAGAAACAAAATCATCATTGTACAACACACAAATCACCTGGGTGACCATATTTTAAGACTGGGGACGACAGTGCAGAAACTGTAACAGCATTCGAGAGTTGCGCGCCACCACTCTGGCCCATTTCGATTATTGGAGGAGCGACGGACGTGTTGACTGAGGTGGTTATAGGGATTTGCCTCTTCGTGGAGGCTACCGCGCCGACCACACCCCCTCCTACTATTGCGCCGACCGCGAAGCACGCGGCGTGGATGACAGCTGCGCTCGGCATTTTGTGAATGGACCAAAACACTAGTTTTGTAGAAGTTGAAGTGGATGTGGAAAAGTTATGGACGCGTCTCGGTCCTAACTCAGATCACTGCCGAGTTTGTTGGGCAAAATAAATAACTGACCCTTAATGAAAGCTCAAGACTTATGGTGCATCAAGCAGCATATATTTACAAAGTGAATCAGGCCTATGATATGTATAAAATGGTCGCAGCAAGAGAATCCAGAGAGGAAAGCAGAGGTGTAAGGAGAGCGATCCGGACAACGAAAGTACAAGGAAATTACGAGTAGGGAAAGTCGACTTTTGAGAGATGGAGGATAAGAGTGATTGCTTTGATGGTGCGGTATACAAAAAAATCTTCAGAACCAGGAAACCATAACAGCGAAAAGAACCAGCAAGCAATCAAGCTACGCGAGAAGGATAGTCTAACCCTGGTTGTGGGACACTCAAAAGCATTAATGAAGAGAAAAGCCTGCGGGTGTCTGTGGTGACTCTGGTGAGATCTATATCTCCAGCGGCTCGTGAGATCTGGCTTCTAGTCCGTTGCCACGTGCTTGGTCACTGTTCGTTCCGCGACGCAGACCAAATCCACCCACGCCAGGGCCTCGTGGTTGTCTGACAACACTACTACTATCATTAAAGCTACCGCCATTAATATTCATTCCAGCAACGCTAGATGGCAGGCTGGGAACGGGCGGGATGGCAGAACTACCAAAATTGTTGCCAAAGAGCGAACCGAAACCACCAGGAGAGCGACGAGAAGGGGAAGCAATTGTTGCATAACCTTCCCTGATATTACCATTTGACGCACGAGTGGCCAAGCGGGGTGCTTGTGTGTGCAAGGTTTTCATGTCGGGCATCGACTTCTTCATGCGTAAAGAGCTTGCAATCTGCGATTGTGAGGAAGTTGCAGAGAGATATGCAGATGGGGCACGCGACAGGGTCGCAGCCTGAGCCCGTTGAGTCTGATGATTCAATAGTCAGGAACTGACTAAAGCCTTGGCATGTAGGGAAGTACTCACCCTGTTAGGATCGATGCGAGTTACGACGGCGTACCTTTCATCGCCTTCTCCAACCGAATAGTGATACACACCCAACTTCTGGGCAATCAGGTGAACGACCCTTCTCTGCTTGGGTGAAAGCGTCCTCGAAAACGCGAGTTCATCCCTCATTCTGTCGTCCTTGAAAAGTAAGATGCGAGAATAAATTTCCAGAGTAGAAGGATCATTTAGATCCAGTTCATTAGGTGACGAAGACTTCTCTGATGGATTTGGTGTCGCGGGGGCAATTGGAGGGGATGTGGCGGGGTTAAATGGCTGAGAGATTGGAAGATGAGGCATGGGCGGAGGTGAGTACTGTTGTTGTTGATAGGCACCAGAAGAGAAGGATCGCTGCGGGGTGAAAGCGGGGGCTGTGACGGGACCAAAATCATCGTATGCTTGGTGAACTGCCTGTTGCTGCTCCTTTTCGAGTTGCATGGAACGCATTCGCCTAATAGCCTTTTCTCTTTCAATACGCTCTTTTTCTCCGGCTTGAAGAACTTTCTTGTACTCGACACGAAGCTTACGGCCTTGAACATCAAATCCATTCAAAGCAGCCACGACTGCGTCAGCGTCTGCTGCTTGTCGGAAATTAGCAAAAGCGAGACCACGAAAAGAGCCTTGTTGATCCAGGTGGTAGTTGAACGCGTATGGAGTAGGAATAGACAAAGAAGCCTAAAATAGAGACATTAGTCGGATCTCATGGTGGAAATCATAACGAACTCACAATGATATCTAGGAGAGTCTCGCGCTTGACGTTGAAAGGAATGTTCTTGACGACGATGGCGGTTGGTATAACCTCATCTTCAGCATTTTGGTTAGGTGTCGAAGGAGCAAGAGCAGATGCTTGTAGATGACCCAAAGGGGGAGAACTACCGGAGGAAGAGAAATCCGAGTTGTTGTGAGGGGATAGAGGGCGATTATCAGGAATGACCATTGAGTTATCAAGCCATTGCTAAGGAATAATTTTAATATTAGGATGTTTTGAAAAGAAAATGACTTACGGTGGGAAGACCAGCACGGGTGGGCTTCATCTTGAGAGGAGATGGTGTCATACCGCCTAGAGGATTAAACTGGCCTGAGAGTTGCTGGTTTGCGCTGAACTGATACTGTTGCCTGTTGTCATAATCGTAATTGTCATGGAGGCGAGCATTGAGAGATAGAGAGCCGATGTCAGGCGTTGGAGAGCTTGTCATGATGGTCAAAAGAAAAGAACACGATTGACCGTAGGTTCTAGGCTAGTCTTCAACTTGACAAACCAGTCGTAACGGCAGTTCGAGAGAGAGAGAAAACAAGGCGAACAGACAAAAAGCGTATAAGAAACTCAAGGATGATGAACGCCGAAAATAAGGCTCGTGGCCAAACCAGAACACACCTGTGACACGCCACCCTGATTTCCATGTCACCACACGTTCTTAAGCTCTAGTCTATTCAAAATACTTAAAACCACACAGAACGGTTAAGGCTATACTATGGACACGAAAATCACGGACTGGCAACGTTACAAGTCAATCCCAACAGCCCATCTGGATCAAACAAGAACCAGAAGCAAAAGAATGACGAACCGGCATGGTCGTAACATGTGCATACTTCTCTCGCTTATTAGTCGTCAACTTTCAACACCAAAAACATCAATGAATTTACATTGAAAGGTCGGAGCCGCGCTCAAGGACATCAGATGAAACTGGTTGACTTGACATATGAAGCGCTGTGCGTGACCATGCGCTCTGATCCTTCAATGACACTGCACCTGATCCGACCGAACCAATCATGATTCAGAAGCCGAAATGATCATCAGCACGAACGCTGTCGGTATCAATCTAGGATATGACATTCGAGGGAATCATAGTCCAGTTGTTCTCAGCAACAGACTCAGCCTTGAATGAGCTGCTTGCACTTTCCCAGGACGTCAACGAGTCCGGGAGGATCGTCAGCCTGAGGAATGTCAACAAAGAATCACCCACACATGGGCGAGACACACTTACCATTAATATTACAAGGTAGGACCACTTTAGACGCTTGTGGCAACCGCAGTAAGGACAGCTGATGTACCACATGACACAGGCTCGAGGGCAAGGGCACGCCGGAACACGAATGCAGGCCAACGGTGGGAGAGCCAGAGATAGTTCTGAGGACGCGAAGTACCATTTTACATAAGGGACTTGCAGATCTCCCACATTTACCCGACCGAACATCATAAAACTATGTAGATCAACTGAGGTTCGAAGGAATCTGCACCAAGATGTACACAAAATATGCATCGAGCATCTTTGCATTACACACATACCTCATATATAAAATACCTTGAGCACCAGTCTCGTAAAAACAAGAAAATACCACTCAGCCCAGCCGAGAAACCCTAATGATACAGCTCTTCCACTTGAACAACCCCAAGCTATAGACAGAGTGCTGCGGGCTTTGGAAATGCGATTAGACTATCAATGTCCACTTGCACGCTAATGCCGCTTGAATGATTCCAAGGGCCACGAATGCGGTGCTCCGTCGGTGACGATGATATTGGAGTGGACGACGAGGATCTGTAGGTATTCGCGATCTCTATATCCAGTGGTGGCAGGTCTGACAGTGTGGGCCGCATTGAATCTGAGCGATGTATGCGAGATTGGGGAATAGGTCCATGGGGAAGGGGTTGGAAAGCGGGGCAAGGAAGGGAAGGGAGTGTGTGTTTTGGAGCAGCGCGTGGTGGGAGAGGTCCCTGCACGAGACGGAGAGCAGAAGGAGGTGCGCGACGAGGGCCTCGGGGCATGGTTACAAGCGAAATGAACTTTACAGTCGATCTATAGTCAATTTGATGGTTTCAGTCGTCAAGGATTGAGCAAGAAAAAGAGTAGTAAGCACTAACCAAGTGAACGTCTTTTATATACTGATAACAACGAGACAAACCACAAATACAAGGAGAGGACAAAAGAGTGACACGTAATCTCGACAAGACCAGCAAAATCGAAATAACCACAGGAGGAATTGAATGTCACACTGTGGTTCAAATCGGGTTCAAACTTCAGAGGGACAATGGCTGTGTCACACAGCAGAGAGCTGGCAATTAAGCTTCACACTGACTACTGAAACGTGAAAGCTTATCCCCATTGGATCATAATAGCAAAGGATGGGATATACTATCGACAAGGGCAACACATCACCGTATCTACAAATGTGCGAGTCCGAAAACACTACGATCGACATATGTAATAACAAAAGAGCCAGCAACCCTCACACATCAAAGCGGCACAACAGCGTCATGTACAGGTCTCAATTGGGCGGTAGTGCTTCAGCAGTTGAGCTTTGAAGGCTATAAGAGGAACAATGAGAAAATGCATGCTCGTACATAAAAATTTACCGACCGTCAGGCTGATTCCATAGCCCTGCAGCGTCACCATTAAGTGGAGAAGCATTGTTGGGTTCTATAAACGGTAAGTGAAAAAAAAACATACACTGCCAGTCTCACGACTAACCCCCTAGCAATGATTGCAACGATAATAATACAGTTTGCACACTATAAACGGCAGACCATTTGTCCTGGAAAGGTTCTAAATACTAAGCATCATTAGCAGGAAAATGTGGCAAACCTGCAAGATATCAAGACAGATCGCGCCTCCTGCAATGTCAACGTTGGGGTGATAACAGGGCGTGTCAAACTTGATCGTTGGTGGTGAGTATGGGTAATTGCTGGGAAATGAGATAGAGATTCGGAACGATAGTCCGGCATAAATCTAGCACGATATTTAGTATTGAATGTCAGTGGTTGCATGCGCACGCCACGTACAGTCCCCGCCGCGCCTTCTATCGTTCCCACCCATTCGAACAGATTTGCATCACTTTTGGGAAAGGCAGACTAAGCGAGACATGAGACGGAAGCACGAAGAGAACTCAATGATCACTCACGATACCAGGAGATGATGACATCTAGCAAGTGTTGAGAATTCAATGAAAGGCATAACCGAACCAAATCACTCACCATCAAAGTCATGAGTTCGTTGGTCAAGCTGCAGAGTGATAGTGAGTATTGATGTTAACCTGACATGTGGCAGCATACTCACCGTTTTGTCACACTACCAGGACCATCAGGTGCTGAGCCAGAGACGGCAGTTTTATGAGAGGTTCTGGAGGGAGCGAGTGCGGAAGTAATCTGGTCCATAAGGTCTAAGCTTGCAGATGCAATGGCGGTCAAGAGAGATGTGCTAATGCAAGATAAGAACCACAACTTGCCAGTTCAAGTAGGTTCGAGTACAGTGGACGCGCTCAGTCACGTGCTGTCATTATCGAAATTTACACAGGTCCAACGGAAACAATAACAAACAAATAAAGACCTATTCTGAGTTCAAATTAAAATGGGCAGATCCGTCGGCAAGAACGGCTGTGGCCCAAAAGCGTCTCCTGCTCACCGTAAGCAATTGCGTAGTTCTGTAACTTATACTTCCAACGTCGTCAACTGCCCACACGATGTCGAGCAATTTTGCGCCGACGCCCGCAGAGCTTGCACTCGTGAATCAGATATTTACTCAGGCAGATACCCAGAAAATCGGAATCCTCACTGGTGACGTCGCCGTAAAGGTCTTCCAGGGTGCAAAACTAGCACCGACCGTCTTGGGCGAGATTTGGAGTATTGCTGACGATGATAACAATGGATTTTTGACCAAGAAGGGTGTCTCAATTGCAGTTCGTCTCATGGGTCATGCTCAGAAAGGCCAGAAGGTCGACAAGTCTCTCGTGAACAAGCGTGAGTTTCACTGCTCTTTCACCATGACACATTACTGATATTGGGCCCTTAGCCGGACCATTAGCCAATATTGAAGGCGTGCAGATGCCTTTGATTCCACAAGGCACCGGTGCATCAATATCCAAATCACCACCTCCCAGTTTGCCTCCATTGACTCCTCAAGACAGGGCCAAATTTACACGGATATTTCAGGGGTGTGGGCCCGTCAATGGCCTCCTCAATGGTATGTCAGCTCATTTGCACGTAGTAGGGGTTAATCGTCCTCCTCCTTTGAAGGCGACAAAGCACGTGATGTATTCTTCAAATCCAAACTCTCTGTGGATAAACTATCTCAAATATGGTGCGTAAAGTGCTTCTGAATTTGGCCAGTCTCATACTGCTACAGGACGTTATGCGACACACAAGACCGAGGCGTACTCGACATAACTGACTTTACCATAGCCATGTACCTAATTCAAGCCTGCATGGCTGGTCAACTCTTGTCTATTCCGAGTTCCATTCCGTCAAGCTTATTCGAGCAGGCTGGGGCGGTTTCTGTTCACGCGACCGGTGGTAGTGCAAATTTCAGCAGCCCAGGTTTTCCACCAGTGCCGAGGCATAATGCTGTGCAGCCGCAGCTGACGGGGCAGGCGTCTCCGGCTCCTCCCCTTCCGAACAGACGCCTAGCGTCCAACAGGCTTGCACCAACTATACCCCCCTTCCCTGGTGTTACCCAATGGGATGTTACCGCAGCTGAGAAGGCCAGTGCAGACCGCTTCTTTGATACATTGGACACGCAGCACAGAGGATACATTGAAGGTGATGTTGCAGTACCATTCATGCTCCAATCCAAGTTACCGGACGACGTCTTGGCCCAAGTCTGGTCTGTAATCATCAAATGTCTATCTTCGGGCATTGTTGTTTCTCACTTTGGGTTTGCAGGGATCTTGCGGATATCAACAATGACGGCCGTCTGACTCGTGACGGATTCGCAGTCGCGATGCACCTCATTCAGGGCAGCCTCTCAGGCAAGGATGTCCCTAGTACGTTACCTCCGACCCTTGTACCTCCATCAATGCGAGGAGGACAAGTGCCGTTTGTTTCTGCATTGGCACCTTCCAATCCGGAACCCGTGCGGGATCTCCTTTGGGACGATTCACCTCCGCCGTCGGCGACCACCTCGCATCCTCCGACAAGCATCTTGCAACCTCAAACCACAGGTACCCCGCTCTCTCCGCGATCTTTTCCTCGTCCCACACCGCTCTCACAGGATCCCTTTGGCTCCTCTCCAGCTACATCTCGTGCGTCGCTCAGCGCCATCTTCTGAGAAGATACTGATACTCTGAACAACAGCGTCGAACAAAAATTTCCTTGATGATGACGATACACATACGCCGCCCATTTTGCACGACCAGTCTGTAGAAATTGGGAACGTGCAGAATCAATTCAATTCCACGCAGAGATCTCTGCAGACCGCAAAGGCTGAGCGAGAGGCTCTCGAGAGTACGCTTGCCAATCAGGCTGCGCAGCTTTCAGCTCTTCAGACTCAGCTTGCCGCTGCCAAAGCATCTTACGAAACAGAGACTTCTCTCCTGAACACACTCCGTGATCGCCACGCAGCTCAGAATACTGACATTCAGAGAACTAGGGAAGAACTCATTAGGGACGAGAGCGATCTCAGCGCTGTCCGAGTAGAGAAAGCAGAAATCGAAGGGTCTTTCTTGCGCGACAAAGAGGAGGTTCGAGAATTGAACAGGCGGATGGCAGAGGTTACGGCGCAAATTGCTGTTGTGAAGCAGGACGTCGAGAAGGCGAAGAAGGACGCGAAACATCAGAAGGGTCTTCTTGCTATTGCCAAAAAGCAATTGGTAGCAAAGGAGTCGGAGAAGATAAGGGTGGACAAGGAGTTAGAGGAGGCACAGCAAGATCTCACTGATACGATTACGGAGAGAGAGAAAGCCGAGGCCGAGGCTGAGAAGATTGTGATTACGCCTTTGCAGGCAGGGTTGGGACGCTCTAAGTCACCGGATTCGGTTGCTTTCGCGGCTGCTCATCCTTTGCCAGTGACCCCTGATATCACGGGCGCCGCCATGAGCCCGATCAGTGTCAAGAGTAATAACCCATTCGAGAGGTTGGCATTGTCCTCAGGAGCATCGACTCCACGATCTCAGTCGCCGTTCCTGTCTTTCCCTAATGCTTCTTATCCTGCTCCCCCTGGCCTGTCATCACCACCCGGTCTCTATTCTCCGGCTACAATCCAATCAGACGTGTTTTCGCAGGCATCCGATACTGAACCCGCGTTACAGACCGATAATGCGCCTGATACAGATAGCTCTGAATTTGTCGTTGTGACCCCTCGCGTGAAGGACGGTCCCTATTTTTCTGACGGTGTCGTATCGTCGCCCACGAGCGATGAACACTTCACCACCCCTCCAACCAGTATCACACCAGTCAATCCTAATTCCAGTGCGAATGATTCATCTCTCGATAGTGCTGTCGCACACTTCCCCGCTATCGATGATTTCAATACACAGCACCCCGCACCGGAGGAGGGGGAGAAGGAAACAGACCTATCTACGGACCTTCAGGAGTTGGAGGTCAATGACACTGAGAGTGAAAGCGAGGACAGCCACGAGTCGGAAGCTGTCGACCACTTGACAGACTCTGCCAAGGAGGTTTCTCCCTCAGAACTGGTATCCTCACAGGCCCCGACCTCTTTTGATGACATCTTTGGAGTCGACACTGATATTCCCGAGCAGGTCCCTGCTTCCAGCAGCGAACCTCAGTCAGACACAGCAGCGACCTCGCAGAATGGCACGTCTTTGGTAGATGCCTTCGGTGCTCCTTTCTCAGAGCTTGAAACCACTCCGTCACAGCTCTTTCGACCATCTGAGACAAGCGGTTTGAATAGTTTTGACGAGGCTCTCGGCAAGATCTCAAATGGCGGTTCCACGCAGCCCGCCTCTGCCTTCTCCTTCGATTCCAACTTTGAGGACAACTTTGACTTTGGGACAGCGATGGCATCATCATCTTCTACATTCCCACCACCCCCTTCCGGATCTACCCCTGCAAATGGCATCTCTGCAACGAGCTCGAACGTGGCTACGCATGCGAATGAGGTACCTGATTTGTTCACCCAGCCTGCGAGCAATGGGATATCAGCCACTCCGAACGTGTCTATGACACAGCCGGCAGCCCCGGTCTCATTTGATGAAGTCTTCTCATCGGGTCCCTGGGATGCTTCAAGCACCACACCTCAGCCTGAGAAGACAGGATCAAAACAGGCGGACGCGGGAGTCATAAGCTTTCAAGATGCATTTGGAGGTGTTGATTCCTCTCAAGCCCTGGCACTAGATGATTTGTTCCCTTCGAAGACTTCAAAGGCATTCGCATCCTCTGCGTCACCACCTTCGTCTGAGGGTAGCAAGCCCTTCCCAAATATTTCCCCTCCTGTATCACCGCGAGGACCATCTTCTCCCCGCGTTACGTCGATACGGTCTACTTCCCCTCCGCGACGTGCCACATCGCCACCGCCTCGAGCTGTTTCTCCGAAGTTGCAGCGGCCGTCAAGCTCTTCAACCAAGGAACCCGGTCACGATAAGCCTCCGCCACCCCCGCGGCACTCTAAGCTCAGTGTATGTACTATATTTACTTTCCATGGTACATTACTAATACTAATCTCATAGATTCGCCTTCCGTTTGGTAAGAAAAAGAAGCAGGATTCAGTACCACCCATTCCTCCATCGAGTCTGTCACAGAATGTGACTGTTACGCAGGAGGCGAGGGCGACGCCTGGGGTTGAAGACGACGTGGAACCTGTAAAGCAGTTGTCTGCTATGGGGTTCAGTCGAACGCAAGCTGTTGAGGCGCTGGAAGCATACGATTATGACGTACAAAGAGCATTGAATAAATTACTGGGAGCGCAATAGGGACGGAGGGTCGATCTTATTGTTTGATCTTTCGTTTGTAATATTTCTACATGCACATTCCTTACTACTCATTCCATCTTGTCATCCGAATCATAAGGGCACCAACAGAACAATGACATTCCTTTATACCACTTTCTTAGGGTTTTACTCTGTTTGACGGGTCGGCCTTGTCATTGACATAGGCCTCGAGTGAGTGACCCTGTCTTGTATTCCCACTCGCAATTGTTGTTTCATTGGGACAAGGCATGATACTGCGGATACTAACTGCCACTTGGTCATTAACAGGGGCAGTTCGAGTCTTAAAGTTGACAATGTTAAGACTAGCCGAACCTTGGTGCCTTAAATACACGCACTAGTGCTTCCGTGACCGGGGAAACTGAAGGGAAACTATGCAAGTTTCAAACTTGACTGTCAAAATTTTTAGCGGGCCTATATAATCATCTTCTGCTCTAACCGCCATGCAGAAAGAACTTACCATGGCCGCATTCGATATGCTTGTGGTGGGCTCCGGTGGCGGTCCCGATGAATCCAACCTATCAGCGTGGGTTCCTTCTTTCCGCTGCTTTCCATCTTCACTCAGGCGTAGTATGCTACAGGTATCTGCTCAAACCTCGCCAGGCTGCTTGGAATG